TTCACACGGGTAACTTTTGGCCTCAATTGTTCACCGTTCCTACTAGCAGGAGCAATTAAGCATCACTTAGAGACCCAAGTGTCCAGTGCAGCGTTGGCCCACGAACTTACGAACAATACATATGTCGATAACGTTATTATCACAAGTTCGTCATTAGAAGAGGCCATAGCCAAGGTTAAGCAATCAAAGCAAATTTTCAAAGATTTAGGCATGAATTTACGAGAATTTATGTCAAACAATAAACAACTCATTCGCCAGATCCCCTCGAAGGACTTGGCATCAAGCAACCAACAAAAGGTCCTAGGAATAGCATGGGATTCGGAAAACGATAAGCTACTTCTCTCATGCAAATATTCATGCAAATCAAAGCTGACGAAGCGTCCAGTAGCAGAACAGGTAGCAGCAATCTACGATCCCCTAGGATGGCTCATACCACTAACATTGCGAGGAAAACAATTTCTTCAAAAGCTGTGGAACCTCGATTATACGTGGGACACACCGCTCTCAAAATTACATGCCGACGAATGGGAAAGAATTGTCAGAAATCTAAATGGATTCGAAATCTGTATCCCACGATGTGTTGCCGAACTCGGACATGAAGCCAAACTAATCCTCTTTGCGGACGCCACCAAAGAATGTATGGCAACTTGCGCCTACTTAGTATCAAATAACCATTCGTTTCTCCTTATGGGAAAATCCAAACTACAGTCAATCAACTACGTTACCACTATTCCAAAGCTTGAGTTAAATGCTATAACTATGGCAGTCCGTCTAGTCCACTCGATACATACAGCTTTAAAAAACCACGTATCTATTTAAATAATACTAATTATGTCTGACTCTGAAATTGCACTAAGTTGGATACGATCATCAAATTTAGGAAAATCAGTGGGAGTACTAGTAAAAAACCGCATCAGGGAAATAGATCGAATAGATAAGGCTTTGCAAAATCTCATTCAATTTGCCCACGTGCCTACAGAGTAAAATCCGGCCGATTGTGCAACGAGGGGATTAAGTATGTCTCAGTTAAAGAGCCATTGTTGGTGGATAGGACCCGATTTCATTAGAGACTCAGATTTGCCAATAGAAATCAAGCCCTTTGCGATACCACAAAGTGTGAAAATAAAGTCCAATTCTACGATAATGACGACTTTTGACCAACCGGTTCTAGAATTGCTGGATTGGTCAATACATAATCGACTAATAACGGCGCAAAACGCAGTGGCATATGTACTGAGATTCCTTAATAAAGTGACAGCGAAATTGAAATCTCAATTACGCGAAAGAATTCGCCGCAATATTCCAGAGATCGAGTTAGCATCCTCGCAATCATATATTACGGTAGTCGAATACGAAGCGGCACTAAGGGTGATCATACGAAACCATCAACGAAACACCTATCCTGGGATGGCAAAAAGATTCCTTCATCCCTATAGTATCGTTAAAGATCAACACGGAATTTTTCGCTGTAAAGGACGCTTAAATAAAGCAAACATTCCCTTCGAAGAACGACAACCTATACTAAAACAAGCAAAAACAAGCTTAGCCGAAATTATAGTAAGCGACGCACATTTACCATTTCACTGTAGCACCAGCCAAACAATGGCAANTGTTAGAAAACGATTCTGGATCGCAACATTACGACGTTTCTCAAGGAAAGCTATAAGGCGATGCGTTGCATGTCAAAAAATGAACAACTTGCCTTATAAGCATCCAACAATGGACGACCTACCGAAGAGAAGGGTAGTAAGATCACGACCATTTGAACATGTTGGGATAGATTACTTCGGGCCATTGTCAATGAAAAGTGCAGATGATATAGTGAAAGGCTATGGAATTACTCTTACGTGTACAGCCACAAGACTGCTACACCTAGAATTAGTTCAAAACATGACAGTTGACGAACTCCTGTTAGCACTTCGTCGCTTCTTTGCTAGAAGGGGTGTACCAAACACTATCACGTCCGATAACGCACCGAACTTCACCCTGGCGGAACAAATCTTGCGAACTACCATTGCTCCAATAACCAACGATACCTCGTTTACGAAAACATTAGCAACCAGAGAAATCTTATGGAGAACAATAACACCTTATGCTCCGAGGCGGGGGCATTTTATGAACGCCTTATAAAATCAGCGAAACATTCTCTTTATAAAGTGTTGCAAAAGACCATTCCAGCAACGTCACAATTAACAACTCTTTTGGTAGAGATCGAGGGATGCCTAAATAACAGACCGCTCACGTACATCGAGGAAAAACCTGATGATCTAGTAATCTTGCGACCAATCAATTTCATCCAACGAGATGTAATATTAACATATCCACTCGAGTCCGCAAGTCTCCAAAAAGGCGAAGATTATATTCCTCCATACGAACTAGGTTTGTTGCGAACCAGACAGCAAGCGATAGCAGCCGTGACATCAAGTCACAAATTAATGGAACAATATTGGACCATTTGGAGCCAACAGTACCCTAAAAGCTTCCGGGAAACACATGTGCTTAGTTTTGATAAAAAGAGGCACTACTATCCCTCCAACGATTGGCACAGTGGTACTAATTTACGAACCGGTCCTACCTCGAAATACCTGGAGAATGGACCGTATCGTAAAACTCAAACCATCAGAGAGTGGAGCCATACGAGAAGCACACGTCAAGCTACCAAACGGACGAATCATCAGAAGACCTGTTAATTTACTTATACCCTTAGAACTGGGAAACACCCAACCAAATGAGTCTCCGAGTGTCGACGACGGGACAAATACGGCTCCGGGTCACGACATCAACAACGAAGTTAAGCTAGACGAAAAATCGAGAGAACGTTATAACTTACGACCACGACCACATACTCGCACCGTTCACTCAGTTCAATCATCAGAGTCTAATGATGAACATTTCCCTAATCATGACAATAACAAACATGGAACGGGCTCTGCTATTTACGAGCTCAACAATTTCTAACGTATAATGGTGACCATTCTAATCCTAACTCGACAACCCTAGCTGCCGAGTATTGTCTAACATATACCATCGACTCATACGAATAATATTCACTATTTGCGCTACTGTATTCTTATACACGCATCTCACTATTCCTAGGCATCATCACCACCTACTACTTATTCCGTCATAGTAGTATTCGAGTAATAGCAACGATCCGAGTCTAACAAACAGAAGAGAGGACAAGAATCCAACTAGGATGAAGCTTGCATCCACCCACTCGTCCATTACGTCAGATGTGTGGAACTCTCCCAGGGAATGGTATACGCTTACAGTCATTCTCTCCTTCTCATCTCTCTGTCTCTCTCTTTGTCTCTATCCGTCGTTCCTCACTTCACACACAGTTACCATTTCACATAAAACCTACTTAATACTCTCCCACTACAAATGACTGTATGATTACCTCATTAATGGTTTTATAGCATTAAGTAGAATTCGCATGTTAAATTCTTCAAATTCATATCAATAATCTTATGTGGGGGTGGGGAGTATAGCAACTATTCCCAGAATAGTTTCTATTTCTTTCTATATATATTTGTACCTTTCTACTACTGTATGTTTCAGTATTAAGGATCAATTATGTTCAATGTTTCAGGCACAATAGCGATTCAGATTTGACTT